GAGAGAGAGAGAGAGAGAGAGAGAGAGAGAGAGAGAGAGAGAGAGAGAGAGAGAGAGAGAGAGAGAGAGAGAGAGAGTCACAGGGAAGGATGCTGGGTTACATACCTGATTGAGGATTGTTGTTGCATGCACTGATGAGTGCTGGTTACTATTGTTGATTGTGCTGAGGAGCGCTGGCTACCTGAACTCAGAATTTGTATAGTATGAGTATTCTTTGAAGTTTCTGAGCTGCGCTGATTTGGTGTTCCATATCTGGCTTTGGTGTGAATCTCCCTGTGAGCTTTCATTGCGCATATTGTGTGGAGAGTAAATCTGAGCGGTTCCTTGCGAAATCATCTGGCTGTGAAAAACAAAAAGCAAAAGAAAAGGAAGACGAAGAAAATCCCCTCGGTGTCAGCATTGCACGGGGTGTACTTCGCAGCCAGATGATTTCGCAAAAAACGAAGACGAAGAGAATCCACTCTGTGCTTTGTGTTCCAGCTGCATGCATCCGATGATTCCAATCCAATCACTACCAATGTTAGGAACGATGCAGAGAAGCAATCGATGATGGACAATGGGAGGAGGAGAGATACACAGTGCATATTCCTTAATGCATATGACATTCTCCCTACCTTTTCTGGAAACTACGTACCATTCGTTGTGAATTACCTACCCCACTTCCTTGATGAAATTGGCACTTCTAAGTTCTAATGGACTTAAAACTTAAAAGTTTGTGGTTTGGTTTGTCTCGCTTTGTCTCTCTAGGAACGAGATAACATGCAGAAAGCAGAGTTCCTCAAGGCATTGGGAGGAATGTGGAGTGGATTCGATGGACGCATTTTGCGGTACAAGGTGAGGCGTGTGGAACGGATATCGGGGTGTCGTATGCTTTTGCATGCATTGATATGCGAACCGAGTGCTAAGAAGATTAGAATGGATGTTTTAGAGGGTACAGAAAGAACGAAGGGGGGGTGGAGAAAATGGATGTGGGGGAGGTGGTCATATGTTGCACATGGGGGGATATGGAATGGCTTTAAAACCACCAGTACTTTCGAAAGTCACGACTGCATGCGCGCCACAACCTGCTGGGGATGATGGGGCCTGGGGCACTGGAATAAGTTCATTCAAGTGGAAACGTCGCGCCACTGTAGCAATGACTGGCTGCATGCATGCCGCGACTTCCGGAAATACTGGTGAATTAAGGCTCTTTTAACCCGTTCGTGAATGTGATGAGTTGGCGTCTGTTTCTTCAGCACATGGAACATTGGAAGCTCTGCTTCTGTGCCTCATCTGGTCCTGATCTGGTGCTTTGTTCAGAGGGGGGG